GATAAAATGTGTCACTATTTTCCTTAAATAAAATTTGAAAATTAAAATCACGATCGCGATTACCAATAATAATATCCGTATTATTATCATTATCGATATCATTTAATAAAATAGTATGTACCAAAGATTCAGGTGGATAATTAACTTCATCGATGAAACTTTTATTATGATCACCAAATAAAATACTTAAGTTTTGTTTTTCATGAGCAACAATCAAATTAAACCTTTGATTATCATTAATATTAAGTATTTTAAAATGATCTACTATATAATTCGTTTCATATTTTGTTCCATTACTAAAATTTTCATTTCCCATGTTAAATAAAATATATACATGTGGTTTATTAGTATACACGATTAGAATATCTGTATAATTATCTTGATTAATATCAGCAACATCAATATATTTCATTTTTGCATTCATTTTCAGAATTTTTGTACGATTCAATGTTCCATTGCCAGTATTATAAATAATAATCATCAAAGTGCTAGATCCTCCTTGAAAACCGATAAAATCAATTTTATTATCATTATTCATATCAGCTTTGAATAAATAACCTATTCCAACATCAGTTGGATGAATAATTCCATTACTAAACTGATTATTAGCTGAATTTAAAAAGATTATTATACGAGGTTTGTTCTTGTCTCCAATAACAATATCTGCATGATTGTCTTCATTAACATCAACAGTAACCATAGACTGAAAATCACTTTGCGTGAATTCATAACGTTTTGGAAGAGATAATGTTGGATACCATTCTAATTAAAAATAAGACTTATGTTACAAATAAGTAGAATTAGATTATCACTTTATTTTTGATTAATCGATTTTTTAAAATCTTTCTTTTTCTAAAAAAAACTCTACCGTTCATTGTTGTTGGATAAGAATCAGTCGATGTTGTAAGAATTGTTGTTGTTTCTGTTATTGATGTATCAATCGTAGTTGAATTAATTGTTGGTTTGGCCTTTTTAGTAAAAATAACACTTATTATAATAACAGCAGTTATTACAATCAGAACAGCGATGATAATAAAAATGAATTTTTTTTCCGATTAAATAAAGATCTAAAATAATAGATTTATTTCGAATAAATGAATAAAATACTTACGATTCTGTTTCTGGAAGAGTAAATTGTCCAAAATTGTTTTCATTGTCTGATTCCGACTAAATATTTAATAAAAAAATTTATTCATTTAGAATTTTTTTTTAAAAAAAGTTAATTGTGCTCGTAACTAACCATTGACTTTGTTCGACTTGTTAATACTTTTCTCGAATGCTAAATGTCTTTCAGAAATATTTTATTCAGAGAATAAATATGCTTTAATCGAGCCAAGATAAGAATATGTTTGACATTTTTTTAATCCGATGTGAAAATTTTGAATAAAAGATCTGATCTTGACTGTGTATTTTCGTATGTTTGTATAAATCAAAATCCAACTTGAATCAATCATTTCTATGTGAAATATTTTCGTTTGAAATAAGATTAGAAACAATCGAACAATTTTTTCTGTTATCGATAAAAATAAAAATTTGTTAATAAAAAGTACTAGTGAACGTAAAATGTATTGACATTTGTTAAAGTTATTTTTATATGAAGAAAAAAAATCTAATATTTATTTCTGTATCCTGAGATAAGATTTCTTACATATTCTGCACATTTGTTTTTCTATGTAATGAAAATAATTTTTCTTTTTAACAAAGAATTTCTTTAAAAAAAATTGAATTAATTCACGTCCAATTTGATTTTATTTCTTCAAATTGTTTCTCTTTAGATTTCATGCATATTATTAGCTTGTTCAGAAAGTCCATGCAACTCATATAGAACTTTCTTTTCTTTGAGTTATTGTTTAATGAATTCACCTTAAAGGGCACAACATTCGGGACAGAATAAACCGTCATTACTTTTCCCATGATCTTTCCTCAACTATTAGGAATATGAGGAGAATTTCTTTTTGAACGATTTTCTTATTCATTTCGTTTTTTGTGATAGTTGGAATTTTGTAAAGGAAGATCGTAGAAAACGGTTTGTGTACTTAAAGATGGTTTTATTAAAAACTCACTGTAAAAGAAATTATCCATGAGTTGCATAGATTTTCAGGACACGATGATATATTTATGATATTTTATTTTTGAGAATGAGGATATTGGGATATTAAATTATTTTTCAAACCTTCATGTTTAGAGAATTTGTTTTGTGCATAATAATTACGTGGAGGAGTTTTAAGTAGATTTGTATATAATCAATATGGAGAAGAACTTGGAAAAGTGAAATAGACTCAATAAGAATCATTTATTTTCTTATGAATGATAAAATAAAATAAAAATGTATATATTGAATCGAAACAATTTCGACTTTAGTCATAATATTGTTTTATTTTATAAGTTTAATGTAACTTTTCTTGTATATTATTTCGTGTGTGGATGTGAATGTTAGCTTTACTATACCCTTACCCTTACCCTTACCCACACCCTCAAATCAATGCAAATCATAAATCAAATATTGTCGGAGGACAGGACGATATCCTCATATGAATTAAAAGCTGAGAAAATGATATGACTTTCATACGATGATATATCTGCATATAAGAAAATTCTCATAAATAAGACAAAGTTCGTGCCATTTATGAGGACTGTTGGCTATAGGATGTTCAACTTGACAATATGCTCTGTCGATATCTTTATTCGTTTTTCAGTTAAGTAGTCATTAGATGGAAGATTTACGCAGATAACCGCTGCATGGTAGTTAAACGATACATTATTGTTTTTAGTAATCGAAACGGTGGTCGTTATTGTTTTATTTGTCAATGTTTGAAATGAGCCAAAAAAAAGATTCATTTATGTTGAAGAGCAGACGAAGAAAAAAAAATGATAACTATACCAGTAATCTTATAAAAATAAGAGAATAAAAGAAAAAGAGAACGTACGTCTGTTTTTATATAGCAATGAGTCACATATTTACTTCTATTGCATTAGAATAAGAAAGAAACTGCGATTTAGTCATTGTAAATGATATAACTAGAAATAGTGTTATGATCCAGCAAGTATGTGGATCATATGACGGAGAAGAGATA